TTTTTTTCCTGGAGAAAGAAAAGTATTGAAGTAAACAACGATTTTAAACTGTTTTCATTTCATCATATACATTGTTGAGGAAAATATGCAATTTTGCTATTGCAAGTTTGCCTTTTTCTTTATATGTAATACCTTTGTATTGTAACCGCATATATTGTAATCGTTTTTATTAGGAAAGTGGTTTATTAAGAAAGACACCACACGTTATATTGTAATTGTTTTTATTTGGAAAGTGGTTTATTAAGAAAGACACCACACGTTATATTGTAATTGTTTTAAAGCATTTATTGAGCAAATTTATTGGTTCTGTGTGACAGCTTCTCCGGTGCCGGCGGCCTTGCCATTGATGCCTCTAAACAACCGAGCTTGCAAATAATATATCTTTGTTTTTATTTCTGTTTTTTATATTAGTATTTTGTTTGTAACATATTTAACCTATATACAATAAACTTATACTTAACTATAACTAAGAAGCTCGCCTGCCAAAAGACTCTGATTTCTAAACTTGAGCAGAACAGACCACGGGGAAGTCTTCTGTGATCTATTTTGTAAGTATGAACATTTGAATGCTTATGAGATAGGACAGATTTGACTTGCTTTACCTAACCTGAGAATAAATAAAATAAGGTAGAAGGTGTAGGAAATTTAGCACCGTAAAACAATATGTACACTAAATATTCCACTCTCATTAATGGAGATAAGCACTGAAATTACTTAAAGTCATTACACAGAAGTTAAACCAAAATTATATGAATTTAGACATAGCCTATTTGTAATGGATGCGCTTGATTACTTTTCCTGTGGTATGTTATGTTTTAATGACAGCGAGGAGTGCTGTAGGTGCACAATAATTTATCTTTAAAGTAAACTGCACATCACATGTTATGAGAAAATATTTTTAGCGAGAACAATGATCAATGATGCGCACTTACTTCGATATTATGGCGGACACTGCTGGATTCGGTATTGTCTGGTTTGAATAGGACCATTGATAATAACTGTACAACCACAGCTGCACGGAAGTGTTGATGTCGTGTGAAGGCATCTCCATAACATTATGAAAAATACCACTGTATTTGAAGGATACAACTTGAAGAAAACGGTAAGATTTGCACGTTTCCTTTTTAAAATAATTTGTCAATGACGCGCAGAGTCAGATAATTGTATTTACACAATTATCTGTGTGCCACATGGAACTTTGGTAGTATTGTACTTTTAGATCTCCAGAAAGCATTTGACACTAAATCATTCAATACTTTTAGACAAGTTAAGTGTCATGGGTTTTTCAAGTAAAGTGATAGCCTTATCAGCAAAACTGCATTAATTTAATTTAATTTAATTTGAATAAAAAAAACAAAATTGAAATATTATTGGGCCAGTGGAAAAGAATGAGATCAACTCTATTCTAAATGATTATTCTGAGAACTATTTTAAACAGTTTTTTATGGATATTTTGATATATTTTTTCTAAAACATAAGAATACCGGATGATTTTTAGCAATAAAGATTAATGTGTATGGCACAAATGGCATTTATAGTCCGTATCTCATATTTCCTTAATGTCTTGTACCTTTGACGGTGTTAAACATGGTGTCACGTGGATGGGAATATGCATAGAAATCATACGCAGATGAGGTTATGCATAGTAAAACTAGGCGTTGTAAGCTCCATATATGGTGATTTCGGAAGATACACACAATCTTCCCCTGACTGGAATTTATAAAGAGATTTTTGCGCAGGTTCTGGCGTACGCACAGTTTTATAAATCTGAAAACTTTTTTGAGAGTACGCAAAATCTAGCTTTTGTGTCTACGTCCACTTTTAGGATGAAATCTACGGATAGTTTTATAAATGTGACCCCAGGTGTAAATGCCCTCTGAAATGCTTTCGAGATAGATTTAAATCTGATCTCTCAAACCACTTCATGGGATGGTCTGGGATGCATTCCAGCTGAAACTGGACAAGTATAAATGCATCTGGCTGTTGAAACCAAGCAAACATACACTCGTTTTCATCATTCTCTCCACTCTCTGAGGCAGAAGTCTCTAAACTCATCCTTTCCAATCATCCTACTACTTGTCCGCTTGATCCTATTCCATCTCATCTCCTTCAAGCCATTTCTCCTGCCGTTGTACCTGCACTCACTCACATCATTAACACATCCCTTCACACTGGTGTTTTTCCCTCAACATTTAAACAGGCTCGTATAACCCCACTTCTTAAGAAACCCACTCTTAACCAAACTCTTTTAGAGAACTACAGACCGGTTTCCCTTCCCTATAGTATCTTCTATACTTATTTTGCTGGATCTGTCTGCTGCTTTTGATACGGTGAACCACCAGATTCTCCTGTCAACCCTATTGGAAAATGGCATCTCAGGAACCGCACGCCAGTGGTTTGAGTCTTACCTCTCAGATAGGTCCTTCAAGGTATCTTGGAGAGGTGAGGTGTCCAAGTCGCAACATCTAGCTACTGGGGTGCCTCAGGGCTCAGTACTTGGACCACTTCTCTTCTCTGTCTACATGGCATCACTAGGTTCTGTCATTCAGAAACATGGCTTTTCATATCACTGCTATGCTGATGACACTCAACTCTACCTCTTTTTGACTGCTTTTATTGTCCTCATTTGTAAGTCGCTTTGGATGAGTAGTTGAGTATCTTGTCAGCAAATAACCGACGAGCAAACTACCGCGAATGAAACTGTTCATGCAGTTGCTTGTTTTCTTACACTTAGCAGCATGCATGTATTGGATTGTATTGCATTTCTTTTGTCTCCTGGTTTATTGGGGGGTAAATTAATATATGTTATATGTGCAGCAGCAGCATATCTGTGGATGTATTAGCGTAGCAGATCTATTCCGCTAATATCAAACACATTAACATTGCCATGTATATTACCATGCTAATCTCTCTGAGAGTTGTCATGACAGAAATATTCTTGTGTCAATACAAGCAAAACGAACAATGTGTTGAAATTTTACAATAATTTCTGTTTTCACCTTTGACTTCTGGTGGTGAACTCAAAATATAGCAAACAGTCTGGATTATCATGATAATCAATTTACTCACCATAGACAGTAACACTGAAATTCTTGTATGTAGTTTCCCTGCTGTTGTAGATGGCTAGTTTATAAAGTCCAGAGTGTTCAGTTCTGATGTTTCTTATGGTCAGAGATCCAGTCTGACTGTCCATTTGGAGTCTGTATCCAAATTTCACATTACTGTTAAATATATCAATGACCTGCTTATTGATTTCAGCTATACGAGTGTCTTGAGGTCCAAACATCCACAGTATCAGATCATCTCTCTGTACTTTAACATCATTGTTTAGAGTGACAGAATCTCCCTCCATCACTGATACTGACTTCACTTCATGTGTATTGCTGCCAAATGCACCTGGAGAAAACAGACAATCTCAGTGAGTAAATAAAACCCTGTTTCAGATCAAACAGGAGGAAGGGAGGAAGATCTAAAATCTTCTTAACAAGTCAAACAAGACCATACTATTACCAAATTACATTTAATAAAAAGGATATAAAACACATACCACTCAAGATCAAGAGACCCAGAGAGAATAAAGTTGCTGTGTTAATCATTTTCATTTAAAAGGCTCTTTGATTTTTATAACTTCCAAATGGCACAATTCAATGATCATCTACTCCACTTATGGTCAAATATGACCATAGAAGAATTAAAAGCATTTACAAGTGAAGGACAATCCAGCGATGTGAAGATGGGTTTGAACTCTCTCTCTCTCTCTCTCTCTCTCTCTCTCTCTCTCTTCCTCTTCAGGGGTTTGCCCGCCCCTCCCCGACTGACCGTCTGCACACTGCAGGCTTTTCACGGTCGCATGGGTGTCCTCTCCGTCTCTCTCTCTCGCTCTCTCTCTGCTTTCCTCTTTCTCCCTCCCCCTCAAATTCCTGTTTTTTTTTATAGTATAAATATATCATAGCTTTCATCTTAAAAGCAATCTAGCTGTTCTTTAATGGCCATAATTTTGCAAGTAACTTTATTTTAATTAATTACACTGTTAGTCATGTCAAATGCTGCTGATAGATATGTGATACATCACCGTGTCTTGAAAACTCCTACGATATCGTGTAACCTCCGAATGAACATCAGCACAGGGACAAAACTAAATCCAGGGTCCTGGATTTACTCACAAAACAAGAAACGTTTTCCAATTTGATTCGACTAGACAGCAGATGCTGATGTTTGTCATGTTCTCTATTGTTACAGCATTGCACTCTCAGTTGTTGGGGTTAGCATATTATCATTCTTGGTGGATTAAAGATTTAGCATATTTTAGAAAGTCTGCATCATATGACCTACGCAAAACCTAATCAAATGAATATTTAATATAAAAACAAACAAACTAACAAAACAAAAAAACGTTTATGAGCATATAGTGTTTACCACTCTGAACTATGACCTGCTTTTGTAGAGCAAAACATGCTTACATGGGATTTCTATTGGGGTTACACTTCAGCATATAAATCAAAGTCATAACAACAATTCCTTTTTTAGATTAAAATAAGTCTAAATTGTCTTTAAGTCTAAAGGTTCATCTATTAATTCTGCATGAAAGATGACCACTAAACTCTTTCAGCTTAATTCTGCAAAACGTTTTCACATTTGTTTCCAGTGAAGTGTAAAGGGGTTCACATGACCATAAAAAGCCTTTCATCCACTCGCTGCGGTCACAGACACAACAACACACTTACACACACATACATTCTTGTGTGTAAAATACATGCACTTTTCACCAACAAAACCACATGGGTGAGTTGGTCCCCTAAAATAACTAAAGTGTGAAATATCTCATGTTTATTCTTTTTTTTTTTAAAGAGGCCTTTTGCACAATAATACAAAGTGGAACAAAGCATTATACCAGTGTTTGTGATAAGCATGCCAATGAATTTAAATTATATTTTCATTCCAGACAATGCATGTTACTGCTGCAGTGGCAATGCTGAAAGAACTTGTTAGCCTGTGAGAAATGAGTATTTTGCATCTTTGATGATGGTGGGTGATTTCCTTATCAGAGATGACTGCGAAAGATATATCATCTGCTTAAGCCGGCTGGCTAATATATAGCATGAAGCTGCAATGCTTGAATTACACTTACGAGTAACAGTAAAATGCTGCAAATCATTTTTTCTTATGCAACGCGATTTACACCTTTACAAAGCTTATCTTCTGTGTGTTGAGCAATAAAATGTCTCTTGACTTCCATATAAATCGGGATAAAAACAACACCCACGTGTCACACACGCAGTGTCAATGTGCCATCCGGCGATAGGTGGCGGTAATGCACTTGTGTGTCAACGATCCGCCGTGAAACAACAAGACGACGTTATCAGTCAGCGTTGGGTTTCCTGAGGTAAGACAGTCAGTTCACGGTGCTTCATGTAACTGTACAATTATGAAAAACAGAGTTTGTTAAAGCAGCACTTTACCGAGACATTCTGTATAGTTTTCATCTGGTTCAGCGCTATTTGCGCGTCTTTTCCTGCGTCTGCTGACTGAAAACATTAAGCCTAGCAGACGACCGATATGAGGAACTAATGCTAAAAACATGAAGACCTGTGATTTTGTGTGTGTTTTTATGCTCGTGTGTTTGATCATTTCGATTATTTGGAGCAATAATGGTATTGTTTTTGAATGCCACAAAAGTCAAGTATAAAAACGAGTCGAACTTGATTTGTTTTCAAACAAATTCACATCTACGTATTTCATTTTTGTATTTTTAACATTATCTATTATTGACATGAAGAGCCTTAATTGTAACACTCTATTTGATGATGAAAGCATTGATTTGATAACTGATTTATTTTAGATTTTGGCATTTCTGTTACTCCTACCTCACAGCAATTCACCTACAGTTCAGTGTCTTCACAGCAGTTCACCAATAAATGCTGGAATGGTCCCATTAGCCTAAAGTGAAGAAGACCAAGTTTGTGAAAGAAAACTGAAAACATGAATGTTCCAGAGCCCGGCGAAATAAAACAGGAAGATATTGAACAACAAATAGGTTGGTGTTTGTTCTTAATTCTCTAATACGGTTATAATACTTCAAACTGCAAAACCTTTTTATTAAAAGTGATCCAAAATCAATTGCTGAGCAAGTACAATTACAAGAACTGAGTGTTCAAAACTATCTCCATACCTTTGCCTGTTTCACAACGGTAAGCTTGTGAAAATGTTTTATAATTTGAGTGCTTCGGTCAGGTCTGAATACGTGGGATTACTGTACTTTCAAAAGATTTGTATTTCAAAGAGAACAATTGTTCTAAGAAACATTAAATTGCTTTTTGAGGTTAGAACAATTTTTTTTGATGACATTCAAGTGGTTTGATGATTAGAGATTAGACTGTACAGAAATTGAAATCTACAGATAATGCTAACACACTGAATACACATAGTCACACAATATTGATGTTGTTAACATTAACAATTTGAGAGCAAAGTATAACAATAAGAATAATTTGCACAGTTTGACATGTTCTGAGCTAACTTTGCGTTTGTTAGGTTTAATCACCATTGGTAGCGTGAAACTTTGTTTGGTCAGACCAAAACTGGCAGACATGGTACTTGTTCAGATGACATTTTCTGGTGAAACTTCTCATTTTGGACATACAGTAAATATCCACACTGGGGCATTGAATGACAGCCCACACATACACCTCAAAACATTAGATTCATCCGCACTGAAGCCCGTGCCGATGCCCATGTAAAGAAGATAAAGATTAGGCAGCAGCTATTTGCACTAAGTGTAAATAGCGATAGAAGCTATTTACACTAAGTGCTAAGTAAAAATACTTTTTTTTAGCAATAGATGCTATTTACGCTAAGTGCAAATAGCAGGTTTTTTTTTAGCGATATGCTATTTATGCTAAGTGCAAATAGCTATAGATTCTATTTACACTGTTAAAATAGCAGGATTTTCTGCTATTTATACTACTTAATGCAAATAGTGGCAATTATCTGCACCTCAGTATTGAAGTATATTATAAAATAGTATGCAATAATAACATATTGAATGCAATAATAACATTAAATGTAAGTAATGTGAAGTAATGTTTGCTAGATGTCTTGTATCTATTGCAACTTAAGTCTCACAGTTGTTGCCATCTCTGATAAGCTTTCTTCTTTTTGTTTGGACATGGTCAACATGCGAAGATGAATGTGATGAAATGAAACTAACATTTCCCAAGAAATCCAACCTGACCATTCATATTATAAAACATTATTATAAGCTTACCATTTTACTCTTTTGAACACTGTTTTTTAATGTACTAGGTCAATGACTGATTGATGGATTTTTGTTAATTTTAAACAAAAAAAAAACAAAAAAACTTTTCTGTACTGCAGCTTTAAAGCAAATAATATCCAGGTAACTTTCCATGAATTGAGCACAAAATGAAGCCTAGAACTCAATTTTCTTACCATATATTATCTGAACTGTTTTATTTTATATTTATTTATATCTGTTTCACAGTTTTTGCAACCATATTATTACAGTTTTGAACATTTTACATACCTGCCTAAAGTATAGTTAATGAAACATATAGTTAGTAGTTCTCATTACAAAAACCTTCAGTTTGTGCCTGTAATGTTTAAAAATAATAATTGGATGATAAATTTACCCAATTCAAATGAATGCGTCATAGTGTTCATATTTCCACTATTATGTCAGGATTCACATGTCTTTTCCTTTCACATTTCTCTCTGAGTTTTAATTTAATTTAATAATTTACATTTTCTTTTTTTTGGATTTGCTGAAAATCAAACTATTGAAACTTTCTAAACTTTTTTTTTTTTTTTTTACTTTTATTTTAGACCTGATTGAAGAGAACAAGGAAATTGAAGGACTCATTGAAGTGGGGGAGAAACATCAGGTCAAAACTGAAGAAACATCCTGGAGATCCTCATTGAAAAACAAGAATATATGTTTCACTTGCCCTCAGTGTGGAAAGAGTTTCTCATGCAAGCAAAATCTTGATCTTCACATAAAATTTCATCGTGGAGGAAAGCCATATGCATGTGATGAGTGCGAGAAGATTTTCACAATAAAAGGAAACCTTATTGAACACATGAAAATTCACACTGCAGAGAAGCATATACGTGATCAGTGTGGGCAGAGTTTTGTACAAAAACAAAACCTTGATGAACATAAGAAAATCCACAACCTGGAAAGGCCGTACAAATGTGATCAATGTGGGAAGAGTTTCCCATTTAAAGGAAACCTTGACGAACATATGAGGATCCACACTGGAGAGAAGCCACACAAATGTGATCAATGTGGGAAGAGTTTTGCACAAAAAGGAAACCTTAATGATCACATGAAAATCCACACTGCAGCGAAACCATACAGATGTGATCAGTGTGGGAAGGGTTTCCCACAAAAAGGAAACCTTAACGAACACATGAAAGTCCACACTGGGGAGAGGCCGTTCGCATGTGATCAGTGTGGGAAGAGATTCACACATAAAACAAACCTTAATGAACACATGACAATTCACACTGGAGAGAAACCACACACATGTGCTCAGTGTGGAAAGAGTTACGCACGAAAAGGAGCCCTTAATGATCACATGAAAATCCACACTGGAGAGAATCTGCACAAGTGTAATCAGTGTGGAAAGAGTTTCAGAAAATCAGGCGTTTTTAAAGTACATCTGCTTACTCATTCTAGAGAAAGACTATTTAACTGTGACCAATGCGGTAAGAAGTTTTTTAGGGCAGATTTCCTGAAGGACCACATGAAAGTTCATACTAAGGATAGGCCTTATGTATGTTCTTTGTGTGGAAAGACTTTTAGACAGATTGGTAATTTAAAAATACACCAGAAAAGACACAGCGGTATGAAGGATCATGCTTGCTCTGAGTGTGGTAAGACTTTTTTTACAGATGGCGCACTGAAAGTGCACCAGACAGTTCACACTAGAGAAACACCTTACATGTGCTCACACTGTGACAAGAGCTTCAAACGGTCAGCATATCTGAGAATACATGAGAGGATCCACACTGGAGAGAAGCCATATCACTGCCATTCATGTGGGAAGAGTTTCACTCACTTTTCTTCTCTAATCGGTCATAAAAAAAAATGCATGTCTGAAATTACAGCAAGTAGTTTGAGTTCTTATCTGTAAGACTGCATCAAACAACTGTATTTATTAATTAATCAAAGATTATTAGAACAATAATGAACTGACTGTCGATTATTTCAGATGAATAATTTTTTTTATTAATCATTGTTTTTAATAATTTTATTATTATTGTTATGCATTTGTCATTCTATGTTTTTGTATTCGTTAATCTTTTAATTATTTTCTTTCTCTCGCAATGCTTGCTATTGTTGTTTAATCTTATGGTTGTATGGTTTGTAAGAAATAAAAGAATGTCTTTGTTTCAAGGTTTTTACCATTGCAGGACACTGTTGTGAAGCAGTACTTTTCCATTGTTTTTGCTTTGCTATAATAACACTTGTTGGATTTGTATGGCCAGACTACGTCTGAGCTTTGAGACATTGGCATTCAGATGCTCTGAGCATTGAAACACACGCAACTAAGATTATTCAGTAATCTGGTATTTATATTATCATCACTTCGTCTTCTGCATCTGCTCTTACCTGTCTTTCTCAGTCAAACTTTCAGGCCGATAGAAGACTGTAAATAGTGTTTTGGGTACCAGACAAGACTTTCTTTTCACAGGTTTTACTGGTTTTGGACACCAGACAAAACAATATCAGATATCTTCTGACAGGGATTCGGCATCGGATTGGATCTGATATTTATGATGTCTAAAACCAACTGATCTAAAACTCCTTTGCTTGGAACTGAAATGGAAAAACATTTCCTCTCATGGTGCATTATGATGCTACGATAATCAAAACAGCGCTGAGCTAGATGAAGCTTTAATATATTTAAACCAAACTACTTTTTTTTTTTTTTGCACTAGATCTGATTTATCGGTAGAAAGGGAATTCTAATTTCTTTAACCAACTTGGTCGCATAGCAAACCATTATCTGCATGTCCCTGCATTGCCTGTGCCAACAAAGCATGTTTTCTCTGCAGATGGCATTATTGTGAATATAATGCTGGCTTTCACCAGAGCATGTGGATATGAATGTTTTTGTTCGCAACAGGAACACAACGTGAAATAATATAAACATGATAATCATTAGATGTCGATTGTTTATGTATGTTTTATACTGCATATTATGAGAATTCTAGCAATGCATCTCTTAATACTTTTCCTGTCAGATTTTACAATATTTTGATAATGTCTTTAAGATGTTTATGATTTATTTATGTGTATGTGAAACTTTTTTTTAAAGGGGAAAGACTAGGGAGGTGAACTAATCTTATATAAGACAATTGTACACTGTAAAAAATGACCGTGAATTTAACGGTAAAAGACTGTAAAAATGCTACAGTAAAAACCCGTTAAATGGTTAACGATAACGTTACCATGATGGTGTTTAGCGTTTGTGTGAATGACACTGCACCTTCTATACATGTTATTATTTAAAAGCTGCTTGTGATGGACTTTCGTTCATCATGTGACTTTCTCATCACCACCTGCATTTGGTGGTTATCAGTGTATTACAAAGGTACAAAACAGATTTCAGTACTTCAATAGGTTGGTATATTAACATTATATCGTTAATGAAATTACGGTATTTAACTGTAAATTTAAGTTAAAACCGTAAAACCTAAAACGTTGCTACCGTATTTTTTACGGTAAAATTCCGGCAACCACAGCTGCCGTTTTTTTACCGTAAAATTTTACGGAATTTTTTTTACAGTGTATGCTATTCAAAATAAAGTTGGTACTGGGGAGGGACTAGGAGAGAAGAAATAGTGATGGCGAGATTAAGAGTAGGACAATACTGTAAAGCTGCTTTGACAATCTATTGTAAAAAGCGCTATATAAATAATGGTGACTTGACTACACTTGATATATTGTGCTGTAGCAGTTAATGAAATGTTCTCTAACATGGAAAGGAAGCAGAAAAAACTACTGTAAAGATGGAAGTTGTTTCTATTTGTTTTTGAAGTATTGTTGATTTTTTCAATCATCACACATATTAAGAGAAATAATACTATAATAGAGCAGTTTTTACTCATTGCAGTACATTTCTAGTCCAAACACGTACAATAAAGTGAGATCTCTGCTGATGATCCTGTAAGGCTTGTTTTGTCACTACTAACAGCTGCTGAAACGCCTTTATAATGCATTTCAATAGCTCAAATTTTCACCTCATTCATTATGCTGATGTCTTCCGATCACCTGTAAAATGCCACTTCGATCATTTATTTGGTGTGAACAGCCTGAAACAAACTACTCCACCACCACATCTACAAGACATATTTTTGACAGCATTTATTTAATTATAAGCTGTGCCTAAACTGGATGTGGCACACGGCACAAAGTGACAGGACAAAACCCCCACATTTATGAAACAATGTTTCATGTAAAAACAACAAAAATCTAAACACCAATGAACAAAAGCACAGCTATATGATGTTGAATTCAATTGGAGTGATATGTTACAAATTTTTACATTTATTTCTGAATTCTTTTTTTGTTCATACTTTTACTTTTTTTTTAATTAGAATTTTTAAAAATTGCATTTATTTGTCTGTTTGTATTTTCTCTTTGTCTATTTGTTGATAGGGAAAATAAAGGTAAAGATAAAAAAATGATTAAAATGTATATATTTAACGCACAAACAAAATAGAAATACATAGAATGTGAACTTTTGGTAGAAACATTCAGTAACTTTACATCTTCATAGATGGATAAACAAAACACAAATGCTTAAATTATGTGAATTAATTAAAACATCAATTCAGTAACTGATTTATTTTTGATTTTGGCAGATCTGCTCCTATAACACAGTAATTTACCTTAATTGAAGCTCCTCCCACAGCAATTCATCAACTAGATACAAAAGTTGGTCAAGACAAACTTTAAGTTGGCTTGAGAAAGCCGGACCAGAAAGTTTTAAAAAGTTTGAAAAGATTAAAAAGTTTAAGAAGTTTAAAAAGTTTTAAGTTGGATGGTTTTCAGTCTGAAATAGTTTGAAGTTTAAAGTAGTTTTAAAAGCTTAAAGTTTGAATGTTTTGAAGGCAATACAGTCTGTCAGAGATAGATAGATAGATAGAATCAGACTGAAGACAGATAGATAGATAGATAGAATCAGACTGAAGATAAATAGAAATGCAGCTGCTAGAATACCCATGTGGTTGCTAGGGTGTAGCTATTCGGTTGCTAGGGTACTTGGGGTGGTTACTAGAGCGGTTGCTAGGGTACCCGGGATGGTTGCTAGGGTGTTGCTATGTGGTTGCAAGGGTACCCGGGGTGGTTGCTAAGGTTTTGCTATGCAGTAGCTAGGGTACCCAGGGTGGTTGCTAAGGTGTTGCTATGCGGTTGCTAAGGTACTCACTTACGTGTTACGGTTAATGAAACAGTCTCCAGCAGAAAGGAAGCAGAAAAGCTATTTTAAAGATAGTGTCATTTGTATATAATCTGATTCTACCACAGACACTTACAAAGTGAGAGTAATAAAGTGAGAACTCTGCTGATGAGCTGGTTTAGAAGTGTCACTATTAACATGCTAAAATGCCTCTATATTGAATGTCAATAGTTACTGTTTTTGCCTCATTCATTATGCTGATGTCTTTAGATCACCTGTAAACAGCCAGTTAAAGCTCATTTTATTGGTGTCACATTGAGGCCAACTATGTGACTTGTCATACATAGAAGACATAAATCTAATGAATCTATAATCTAATGATAAAGCATTTATTTCTTTATAGTCTGTGATAAACCACGTTTCATTTAAAAACAAGAAAAATGTAAAAACCCATTAACAAAAACTTAGCTACGTGACGTTGACCTCAGAGTAGGCTATGTGTTATTTGTTGCTTACAAATACATTTATTTCTGAATTTGTTCTTCTGGTTTTTTTTTATTCATACTTTTTATATTTTGATTATTTTAATTGCGGTATGAATGTATATTTTTCTATACCTCTTTTCTTTTGTTCAAACGGTTGGTAAAAGGATAAAAATGGAATGAAATGTTTAGATGATTCACAAACAAAACAGAAATAAGTAATAACTTACTGTTACATTTTCATACATTTATAGATAAACACAAAACATAAATGCCTAAACTGTGTGTAGCTGACTCAGTAACTATTTTTATTTATTGTTTTATTTATTTTTTTATTTTGGCAGATCTGCTTTTCCTTATACACATCAATCCACTTTATGTGAGTCTCCTCCCACAACAACTCACCAGTGAAGCTCCTCCCACAATTCCCTAATAAATGCTGGAATCTTCCCACCAGCCCACAAGTGAAGACGACAGTTCATGAAAGAAGACTGAGAACATGAGTGATCCAGAATCCTGCAGAATGGAACATGAAGATCCTGAAGAACAAAGAGGTTGGTGTTTAATCTTGATTCTACATTTATGATGCTGAAGAACATTAAGGTTATAGAACTTAAAACCGTCTTCAATTAGATTTAGTGGTTGTAATTAGCAAAGTCTTAAAAGCTGTGAAATAACATTATATAAATAATATACCAAACACTTTTTATGAACTGGGTACAAACTGGAGCCTGAAACAGATTTTTTTCAAGCAAAGGATCAGTGAAAGGAGCAAACATTTATATTCATCGTGAACATCATGGTCAGGCAAAATATTATGAGCTCTTTATCTTACACTGATTTTATAACTGGCGATACATTTTACAATTCTGACACTGAATGGGATGGGAGATTTTTCTCAATGCTTCATGAAGCTTCGAAACCTTTGCAGATCTTTGGTTTTGAATCAGAAGTTCGGAGCGTGCATTGGATTATATCTGTATTCTAATAAATATGATGTTAAAGCTCTAGGAGGAGTTAGAGTCAGAAATGTTTGTCTCAGAATAATAATAATAATGTAAAATGTAAAAATGTAAGTTTGTCAAATTTCAGTAAGTCATATTTCAGTAAGTTGGCTTTCTCAAGCCAACTTAATAAATGCTGAAAAATTCTCATCAGTGTTCAAGTGAAGTATATAGAGTTCATGACAGAACATTGGGAACATGAGTGATCCAGAACCCTGCAGAATGGAACAGGAAGACACTGAAGAACAAAGGAGACACACTGGAGAGAAGCCATAAACGTGATCAGTGCGGGAAGAGCTTTGCAGTAAAAAGTTTGCTCAATGATCACATGAAAATCCACACTGGAGAGAAACCGCACACGTGATCAGTGTGGAAAGTGTTTTAGACAAAAAGGACATCTTAAGGTACACATGAAAATCCACACCGGAGAGAAGCCTTATACATGTAATCAGTGCGGGAAGAGTTTTGCACATGCCATCTCTCTTAAAGTACATCTGCGTTCTCACTCTGGAGAAAAAACATTTTACTGTGATCAGTGTGGAAAAATTTTTCTTTCAGCATTACTCTTGAAGAGCCACCTAAAAGTTCATACAGAGGAGAAGCCTGTGACACACTGTGACATGAGATTTGGTTGGCAAGGAAATATGAAAACACATGAGAGGATCCACCCAGAGATTTCTTCTTTGGGCAACATCCCAGAAAAACCATCTAAAGTTCAGACTCGTGTGGATCTTGTGTGGACTTTTTCTTGTGGGGTACTTTTTAATTACACTAGAAAAGACACAGTGTGTGAAGGATATATTTTGTGTGTGTGTGTGTGTGAAGACTTTTACTACAGAGGGTGAACTGAAACTGCAGCACACTGGAGAAAAATCTTACAAGTGTTGACGCTGTGACAAGCAATGACAGTTCTAGACCATAGTAACGCAGCTCAAATGTATGTTTCCAGTTGATTTTGTAAATTAGGCTAATGTTGCATTGTGATGTGATAATGAGCAGTGATAACACTTCTAACATCTATGCCACGGCTGCACGATTATGAACAAAAATCATAATTTTTGTTTCCCTTGATATTGTAATTGTGTGGATTAATATTGTAGATGGATAACAGAACAGAATTATTCATTATTACAACGTCACACTCACACTCAAATCATAACATGGATGTAGCCTAACAAAGAATTATATTGTGAAGAATAAAGTGAATCTGAATTCAAAATGTTTAAAATTATTCATTTTTATCACTTACACATTGTATCTAAACAAAATATTTTTGTTGCATAAAGCTGTGAAATGTGGGCTAACAAGTCAACAAACAGTTGAAACAGTAAAAGAGGAAAATTACAAACAATAGGACAAATAAAATATAGAAAAAAAACCGAATTGAAAAACAATTTGGCCTACTTAAAATAATTGCCTACAATACAGAAATTGAATTCAAATGTAAAAATAAAACAACGCATATTCTTGAATTAAGCACATTGTTTTTTAAAGCTACTAAAATTATTCAGTGAAGAGCAATGAAGAAATCTCGTTTTCTTTTGTTGCTTGATTAACAATAAATGACAGCGACAGCAGCAGGTTATTATTTAAGGACTGAGTGCACAGATCTAATATGCTGACAAGCATTCAATTACTTTCCCAAATGTTTGTTCCCTTAAAATATAAGTGAATGTATTTAAGTGAAGCAAATTATTTATCACCAAGACAATATTTTGGTGTATATTTGTCCATTTAAGCGCATACCCAAAGCACAAAGTCAAAGTCAATTTTTGGTTACCAAAACATACCCAGAATGATTGATTTTAGTTCCCAGAATGTTTCTTTTTGGTTTGCCAATAAAGTTTCTCAACAGAAATAGAATGTGTGTCAGTAATCATCCAGCACACCCACGACACAGTATACCTATAAGCAATGTGGAATATATTAACGTCTATAATCAATATTATACAAACCAGACACAAAAAAAAAGATATAAATTCAAATAAACAATAACAATGACTTCAATAAAGCTATGGTTTTATTTGTTCACAGACAGAATGGAACATGAAGATCCTGAAGAACAAAGAGGTTGGTGTTTAATCTTGATTCTACATTTATGATGCTGAAGAACATTAAGGTTATAGAACTTAAAACCGTCTTCAATTAGATTTAGTGGTTGTAATTAGCAAAGTCTTAAAAGCTGTGAAATAACATTATATAAATAATATACCAAACACTTTTTATGAACTGGGTACAAACTGGAGCCTGAAACAGATTTTTTTCAAGCAAAGGATCAGTGAAAGGAGCAAACATTTATATTCATCGTGAACATCATGGTCAGGCAAAATATTATGAGCTCTTTATCTTACACTGATTTTATAACTGGCGATACATTTTACAATTCTGACACTGAATGGGATGGGAGATTTTTCTCAATGCTTCATGAAGCTTCGAAACCTTTGCAGATCTTTGGTTTTGAATCAGAAGTTCGGAGCGTGCATTGGATTATATCTGTATTCTAATAAATATGATCATATAATTATAATATTTTGGTTTTACTGCATACTGTTTTTGTAATGAAATACATTACAATGAGTAGCAAATAGTATCTGCCACTAAGAAAAAAAAGAAAAACTGGATCCAGTATACTATTTACACTTTGTGCAAACGGGGGGGGGTTACAATTTTAAAGTCCCCTTGCAGTTATTAATTTTATCCCTTAAAACTCATCTTTGATGACCCCCAAAAGGTTTCACTCAAAGTTCATTAAGAATATGTTTATCCCACATATCATGTATCTTGTGAACCTGTTGTTTTTCCCCTTCATGTTTGGTATCATTTTAAAGGTCTTTCTGCGATTGGTAAATTGGTTTCAATTTCACAGCAGTCACTTATATTATGAGAAATATTGAAAACTTTTGTAGAATTGTGTTCTGCTGAGGAGGGGGTGTGTTCCCCTTTAGGGGTCTGTGGGAATGTTTATCTATCTCCAGCCAGATGTGACCCTGGAGCACAGAACCTAACAACCAAATGGTCTTTTATGTTTTTACAGCTGGTTCAAAGATTTCTTTGTTTTTCTTATTTTGGATATATAAGGGAAGTGACAAAACACAACTTTGGGATTCTGTAGTCAAAAAAAAAAACCCTATGCAGTGTGTGAGAGTCTCTGGAGCTCTGCACCAGAACTCTCGCTGCTGTGTGTCTCTCTGCTGTCAGGTATGATTCAAAAATGTTATTGTGTTAAACACAATGTGCCCATAGAGCACACTGTAGTTGTTTGTGCTACTACATGTGCACATAGGCTAGTTAAGTTTATTCTTTAAAACACAAGATTTCTTTGCTGTAAGTGTTCTTTGAATTACTTAGGTAAAAGGTTGTTGATGCTATGCATTTTAGATTTGGACAGTTACATGTGTGACTATGTTAAATTTGTTTGTCTCCTGCGTGGAACACTTGGCTATTTTCCATATAGCTACAGTAAACCATGTACAGGAGCAGGGTTGCCACGTGGCTACAATGTGATTCATAATTGCATTATCTTTTCTAAATTGGCTTCTAATTGTTTCATTATGTAATTGGCATGATACAATTTTACCTGACTAATAAGAAATTGTTATATTTGATTTATTCTGATCTCTTCTGAAATAATTTTTCAAGTAGATTAATGTGTAGTGGTATTTCCGCAAATCTGCGTTCAGGACAGATCATACGGAAGCACCAGTGGATGAACCATGGGGAACACTATTAGGGGCTTCTGATTTCTGACTGTCGCTGGCTTAACATGGTGTAGCTCTCGTGGTTATAGGAGAAAATACACTTTTTGTTATGAGCACGCAGGGTGCAGCTCACTTAAAGGTATTATAACCACTCTGCATCCTCTGAGTAAGTTCAGAACTGACGAGTTTGTGTCCGTGGGTTCACTATCGGCCGAGTGCAATTCCTGTGCGATACCTGGTCCCTAATGAACGAAGAATTGAAAGTATGGGATTTCCAGAATACTCAAATATCTAAATTAATATACAGTCGATATCTGTGATCAGCTTTTAATTAGAAATATTGCCTAAATTTAATGATCACGTGAAATTGGAGTCAGATTGAACACGGAGCTAGACTAAAATGTAAACTAAATCCTGATAAATTCAGAAGCGCAAGTAAATGACCGAAAACGCATTAAACCTTCGACCAGGCCGCTGGATTCCACTTTTTGGGCCGGTGGGTGGATTCTTACAATGACCAAAATGACAAAATATCACAATTTTTTATTTGGGAAAAAAAATAATTTAAATAGCTTGAATGTAACTTTACAACTCTAAAGCATTATTTAGTATACATAGATCCATGAATAAGTAAATTAATAGTCCCTATATTTCCACTCAGTCACATCAGCTATTGATCCACTCCCTTAACTGTAGTAAAAGCTACACAGTGGAACTATTGGTTTAATTCAACCATATATGTGACCCTGGACCACAAAACCAAGTAGCACGGGTATATTTGTAGCAGTAGCCAAAAATACATTGTATGGGTCAAAATTATTGATTTTTCTTTTATGCCAAAATTTCTGGCTGTCGCTGGCTTAACATGGTGTAGCTCTCGTGGTTATAGGAGAAAATACACTTTTTGTTATGAGCACGCAGGGTGCAGCTCACTTAAAGGTATTATAACCACTCTGCATCCTCTGAGTAAGTTCAGAACTGACGAGTTTGTGTCCGTGGGTTCACTATCGGCCGAGTGCAATTCCTGTGCGATACCTGGTCCCTAATGAACGAAGAATTGAAAGTATGGGATTTCCAGAATACTCAAATATCTAAATTAATATACAGTCGATATCTGTGATCAGCTTTTAATTAGAAATATTGCCTAAATTTAATGATCACGTGAAATTGGAGTCAGATTGAACACGGAGCTAGACTAAAATGTAAACTAAATCCTGATAAATTCAGAAGCGCAAGTAAATGACCGAAAACGCATTAAACCTTCGACCAGGCCGCTGGATTCCACTTTTTGGGCCGGTGGGTGGATTCTTACAATGACCAAAATGACAAAATATCACAATTTTTTATTTGGGAAAAAAAAATAATTTAAATAGCTTGAATGTAACTTTACAACTCTAAAGCATTATTTAGTATACATAGATCCATGAATAAGTAAATTAATAGTCCCTATATTTCCACTCAGTCACATCAGCTATTGATCCACTCCCTTAACTGTAGTAAAAGCTACACAGTGGAACTATTGGTTTAATTCAACCATATATGTGACCCTGGACCACAAAACCAAGTAGCACGGGTATATTTGTAGCAGTAGCCAAAAATACATTGTATGGGTCAAAATTATCGATTTTTCTTTTATGCCAAAAATCATTAGGATATTAAGTAAAGATCATTTTCCATGAAGATATTTTGTAAATTTCCTACCGTAAATATATCAAAAAAATTTATTATCATTAGTAATATGCATTGCTAAGGACTTCATTTGGACAACTTTAAAGGCGATTTTTCCCAATATTTTGATTTTTTACACCCTCAGATTCCAGATATTCAAATAGTTGTATCTCAGCCAAATATTGTCCTATCCTAACAAACCATACATCAATGGAAAGATTATTTATTCAGCTTTCAGATGATGTATAAACCTAATCTATGACTGGTTCTGTTGTCCAGGATCACATATGTTTGAACCAGGAACTGATTCAGAGGCAGAAGAGTGAATTTTACAGGGTTGTATATAAGATCATAGGCCTTTGGCTTGACAACATTATCAAACAGTTAATAATGTGTTGCTAATCTTACACAAACCATGTTCATGTTCACCATCTCAGTGTTTTTGTTTAAGTTATGGCATTATTAAATAGTTTTAATATCAGTGTTATATTAGATATAATTGTGTGTAGTTAATTAAACATTTAATAGTTCTCACTGCAACACATGGGATTTGTGATAATAATGTTATAAAAATAATAATTAGAAGATCAATATTTCCAATTCATGTAAAGTTCCAGAGACAATAATTAATTTATATTAAAAATCATCAAAACAATCATACTTTTTTTTTTGTCTTTGAATTCATGATTTACTTAAAATTAAACCTTTTCTTTCAATTTAGATCTGATGGAAGAGAGCGAGGAGAGCGAAGATCTGAGTGAAGCAGAGCAGAAACATCATGCCAAAACTGGTAATTTGAGTCGCTCACAGACTAAAAGCAATTTCTTACAGAGAAGAACAGCCAAAAAGCACACTTGTCCTCAGTGTGGAAAGAGTTACCTAAACAAACAAAGTCTTAAACTTCACATGATAGTTCATAGTGGAGAGAAGCCTTACACTTGTGATCAGTGTGGGAAGAGTTTCACATTACAAAAAAGTTTTAAAAGTTCACTTGAGAAGTCATAATGGAGTGAAGCCGTACACATGTGATCAATGTGGGAAGAGTTTCGGAATGAAAATAACCCTTACTGGACACATGAGGATCCACACTGGAGAGAAGCCATATACTTGTGATAAGTGTTGGAAGAGTTTTGCAAATCTAAGCAATTTTAAAACACATCTGAATTTTCATTCCGGAGTAAGACCATATAACTGTGATCAGTGTGGAAAAAGCTTTTTTGGGGCAAAATCCCTGAAGGACCACCTGAAAGTTCATACAAAGGAGAAACCTCAAATGTGTTCTTTGTGTGGAAAGAGTTTTGGTCAGCTGCAACATTTAAAAAATCACCAGAAAAGACACAGCGGTGTGAAGAATCATATGTGCTTTGATTGCGGGAAGACCTTTGTTAGAGATGCTGAACTCAAACTGCACCAGAGAATTCACAATGGAGAAAAACCTTACAAGTGTTCACACTGTGACAAGAGTTTCAGTCATTATGGATCTTGGAAAAGACATGAGAGGACCCACACTGGAGAGAAGCCGTATCACTGCTCTTCATGTGGGAAAAGTTTCACTCAATCATGTTCTCTACTCCGTCATACAAAAAATATATGTCTGAAATCGAGTCATCAAAAGCTAGTATAGGCCGATACTGGTCAAAAGCCTATCAATCAGAGAATTCCTAAAATCTTTCACCAAACTCTTCTTCAAAGTTTTTAGAAAGACATAAATTGTTGTTTTCACAAAGAAAACTTACTTTTGTCAAATCTTTTTAAAATGGTGAAACACTAGCATGAATTTAGACATGTGTATAGCTATATTTTAAAAACTTGTTGTATTTTGGGTCCTCAATGTTCATGTAGGGCTTTTTAACTATTTCCCCACCATTGACAGAGTTTTCTGTCATTTATGACCCAACGCTTCCCTGCCATTTTCAGCAGTGCAGGTTTTTACTGTTATATGGTGGAGGTGCTATATATTACACGTCTTCTGAAAATGTACAGAATCTCTGGCTCAAAGCACAAGCGAAAAGAGGCAGAAAAAAAGTGATAGAATCATTTCATATGCACATGTTGAAGTCTTTGACAAAAACACAATTTTCTCAGCCTTTTGCTCAAAATGTTGCTTTCTAAATAAAACTTACCTGCAAAAAAAGAATGCTTGAAGTAGAATCATTTTGTCGTTGTTCTTTAAAAGCAAAGGCTTATTGTATGTTCAGATATTTATAGCCTATACAACAAAATATTTTGGGGGCCATGAAAAATTTGTGAAAATGATCAAAAATACTGATGCTATCTGGGAACTTTTTTAAAGCGCTGGTGGGGAAAACAGTTAATTTATATGAATTATACATGACTTCTAACTGCTGCTGAAAAGCCTCTTCACTTCATGTCAATAGTTCCTTTTTTCACCTCATTCATTATGCTGATGTTTCAAATCACCAGTAAACTGTCAAAAGCTCATTTCATTGGTGTCAGCTGTGTAAATAAATGATTGTAAATGAGAAAATTATGAATTTTAATTCATTTAATTAACATGTACATAAAAATGTATGTAATGAAGTATTACTTTGTGTTGCTAGTTTGGAGTTATGATCACTGTGGGGCATCTGTTAGAATGCACAAGTCTTTGTTCTCCATTTACATTCTCTTTATTCCAGCTTGTTTCAAGTTACAGGTGGACAGAGATGTGGTTAATTCTTTCTGCACGCACAAATCCACTAATGCAAGATTAACTGCATAAATAACACTAAAAAAATGATTTCCTTCTGTCCGTCGCTCCACTGCAAACTAAAACAACTTCCGCCTAAGAACGCAATAATACTTCAGGCAGTTATATGATAAGACAGTCTATTAGCGCCCCCTACTGGACTGACCCACACTTTCCTTTCCAACAGCCGCCCCCAAATTTGTTCCACGAATTTGCAGTTATTGGGGCAACCCTTTGCGCTCATCATCTGTAGTAGCGGGGAGGCGGATCAGACGGCTGACAGGTCTGACATATGTCCGATCATTCACCTTAACTTCTGCTGTACGTATTCGACCATCAGCTCCGGTGAACACCTTGCTTATCCGTCCAACTGGCCATAGTGCTCTCGGCAGCTGAGGGTCTACTATGAGCACCACTGTGTTTGGTTGGAGGGGATCTGTGTCAGTTTGCCATTTCTCCCGGATTTGCAAAGCAGGCAAGTAGTTTTTTAGGAACTGTGACCAGAATCTATCTGCAAGGACTTGACAGGCCCTCCAGCGCCTCCGACTGAGTAAATTGGAATCATGGCATTCCAACCAGCGCTCTGACTCTCAGTGCAAATTTATGGAATCCCATAGAATCTCCTGAACGGATAGGAGGTCCATCCATCAACTCTGCAGTTCTCCGCAAAGCTAGTTGGTGAGGCTGGCCATAGTGCTGAATGAGAGAGGCCATTGTGTCTGAGTAAGGGTACAGAGAGTTACTATAAGAGTCAGCGATTAAGAGGGCTTCTTCAAATTTGAGATGGTCCAGCAAAATTTGGTATTTGAACCTCTCAGTTGCATCAGGGGGGAGGATATTCTCCAAGGATATTCGCAGTCTTGCAAACTCTCTAGGGTCATCACACGTGAAGTCTGGGATTGAAGGTTTGGGACCCCTATACGATCTCTCCTGGCTACGTGGTCGTACATCAGTGAAGCTGTAGTCCCTTGGAGGTGGCAATGGAGGAGCAGCAGTATTAGTAAGGCTTGACCATGATTCTGATTGTCCTGTTTCATCATCTGGCTGTTGATAGTTCAGCGTGGATGGGGAAGATGACGGCTTCAGTTCTAGTTTAAGAATGCGTTCATTTAGCTCCTCCAGGACCTCTATGATTCTGTGATCTGGATTGGGCTGTCTTGGTCTCTCATCTGATGTCACTGGGGGAGGTGGTGGTGGCCAGTCTTCATCCTCTTCAGCAATAGCCGATTGATGAACAGGCTGAGGTGGTATATCAGCTACAGTTTGCCTCATTCTGACACTAGGAGAATGTTCTGTTGCTAATGGCAGAGGATGAGGAGGTGACAAAGCATAATTCTTGTCCATTTGACGTTGCATATCCAAGACAGTCTGGTATAACTTCCTGTTCCTCCTGCAGCTGCTGAAGAACTTCTAACATAGGCGGGGTGTGCTGGGATGGTATTGGTGTGCTCTCATAAAGAGGAACATAAGCTGAGGCTGAGGGCTTTGCTTCCATGCCTTCTATGCTCCAGTTGTATGGAACGGAGTGCTGGGGAAGAGGTGTCATCTCGGCGGGTCTCTCCCTATATCTCCTGCTTTCTCTCATTCCCGAAAAATGTTCAATGGGTTCATCAAATACTATTGGACATGGAAGGTCAACCTCATATTCCTTTAGCCAGACAGGAGGGTTCCTTTGTCGGCGTGAACGAACATCATCTGGTCGGAAATCTCTGTCTGATGGAGCACGAGCCATCTTCATCCACAGTAATCACCAGATCCGGCTCGAAGGACCAATGTGTAATGAAGTATTACTTTGTGTTGCTAGTTTGGAGTTATGATCACTGTGGGGCATCTGTTAGAATGCACAAGTCTTTGTTCTCCGTTTACATTCTCTTTATTCCAGCTTGTTTCAAGTTACAGGTGGACAGGGATGTGGTTAATTCTTTCTGCACGCACAAATCCACTAATGCAAGATTAACTGCATAAATAACACTAAAAAAATGATTTCCTTCTGCCCGTCGCTCCACTGCAAACTAAAACAACTTCCGCCTAAGAACGCAATAATACTTCAGGCAGTTATATGATAAGACAGTCTATTAGCGCCCCCTACTGGACTGACGCACACTTTCCTTTCCAACAATATACATTTTACAACTTATTTGTAAAGTCTGTATGGACTCACACCTTGCCAGTGTAAGTGAATGGAAAGTAAGCAAAGAAAATCTTGGCAGTGATCATTTTCCAATTTTTTGTAAAGTTAATGTTGATGTGTATGTATACAACCAAATAATTACATTTACAGCTGGTGTTTTGTCAAAGCAAATTGGGAAGATTTTAAACAACAGGGTAAGAGAGAAGCTCAATATTTTCAAATGAATGGTAATGTAGATATTTTTGTAAATAAAGTCAGCTCGATCGTAAATGCTGCAGAAGAATACATTCCTAAGAAAGTTATAAATCAAAACAGGAAAGTAGTTCCATGGTGGAAAGATGAATGCTCTATATCAGGGGTGCCCAACCCTGCTCCTGGCTATCGACTGTCCTGCAAAGTTTAGCTCCAACTCTAATCAAAGACACCTGCCTTTAATTTTTAAGTGATTCTGAAGACCCTAATTAGTTGCTTCAGGTGTGTTTGATTAAGGTTGGAGCTGAACTTTGAAGGACAGTCGATTGCCAGGAGCAGGGTTGGGCACCCCTGCTCGTAAGGAATTGTCCTCTCAAAAATTTCAGGAAAAACATGAGCATGGATAACTTGGTAGAAAACAAAAGAAAAGCAGCTATTGTGAGAAGAATGTGGAAATGCGTGGAGAGAATTTTGCTCAAATATCGGTAGCTTTTTCTACAGCTGCTTTGAATGCAGTCGAGGCAGTGCGACTCTGCCGATCAGCATGTCAGAAAGCAGCGGACAGAGCAGCGCTAATCATGTAATCACTGTGCCGGAGGACGAGGTTCGGAGGGCCCTAAAGCGAGTGAACGTCAGGAAAGCAGCCGGTCCTGATGGGATTTCTCGCCGTGTTCTGAGGTCTTGTTCTGATCAGCTCGTTGGTTTGTTTACATCCATCTTTAATGAGTCCCTTGCTACCTTGGTGGTTCCCACCTCCTTTAACCCTTGTGTGGCGTTCATATTTTTGTTACTCAGCCAGTGTTCGTGGGTCTGGTGGACCTGCTGCAGTTTTTGGGTTTTTAATTCAACACAATTAAAAAATGTATGTTAAAATACTCAACAGATGTTTACTTCATCCCAATTACAAGCAATATAAACAGCATATATGGTCAAAAGTTGCCCTTTACCTTTGTTAGATCACATTTATGAATTAAAGTGCTACAGCCTTGTGTGGGA